GGGTTATTGACGTGCTTAGCAATGGGAACTTAGTGGCTGAGGGTAAGGACAGCAAACCCGTTGGTTGGTGTTCCTCCTCTGCACTCTGGATGCCTTCCACTTCCCTGAGACGGTCCAGCTGTGCACACCTGGGACTGAGAGCATGGCCAGAGAGCAGGACCACAGTGTAAAACTACAGCCTTGAGACTCTGCTCTTGGGATGGCTGTGTGGACAGGGAAGAGGTCCCTGGAGATGACTGTCACCTTGTGACCACAGGCCAACTGTCACTGACTCCATCATTGAAAAGCCGTGTGACTTGGATAGTTCCCGTTACTTCTCTAAAGTTGTTCCCTGCTCTTCAGTGGGCACATGGGTGCTCTCTCCCCTTTATGTGCAGCTTTGCAGACGGTGACGCTCGAGAGGTACCTTACTAACGTGCCTAGCTATTTTTATGTGCAAAGACCTTTTCCAATCTAAAAGGAAACTTTCCCCAGAAGAAAGCCAACTATTTGCTTGTGTCCTGACTTTTGTGTCTTCCTCTTTTTTTAAATTCATTTTTTATTTATATATGACAGCTGAATGCATTACAGTTCTTATTACATGTATACAGCACAATTTTTCATATCTCTGGTTGTATACAAAATGCATTCACACCTATCTGTGTCTTCATACATGTACTTTGGATAATGATGTCCATAACATTCCCCCATCATTTCTAACCCCATGATGAAGCACATACACCATGAACTTTGCCAGAATCACCCACATTTGTGACAACTGAGAGGATTCATTGGCAGGGGCACCACGACTTCCTCTAAAGGAGAAAGAAAAGTCAGGTCCTCCCAAGGTCTAGAAGAATCCGCCCTGGGTTGTGTGAGGATGAGGGTGAGTCACAGAGAATATGCATGGCCCACAGAGGGCTGGGTGCGGCCTCTCTGGCACCCGGAGGGGCTCGCTGTCTGGCTGTACCATGAAGAGAGGCTCGGAGGACCTTTCTCCCTCCTCTTCATTTTTCCTGCTGACACATCCCTTATTTAAAGTGACACAAATTCCACTCACTGTCTTTGAGAATGATTGTCTGGGGGAAAAAAAAAAAAACAGCTTGTTTTACTTTCTGTACTTTAAATCCTCCTAATCCACTCTCGCTTGGCCGGGAGTGCCTCCTGGTATAGAGAAGTTGCTGGCGCCGACTCCTGCCACCCCTGCCCACCCCTGCCCACCCCTGCCAGCCGCAGGCCAGACTCATGCTTCTGGTGGGGGAGGGGGCTCCTGACCCTCCCGAGTCCATCAGGAAGACTCCTGGCCACCGCAGGCTTGGTCAGTTCCCTGAGCTCCTGGTCCTCCTCTTTGTTCCTGCTGCAGGAGCAGCCAGGTCGCCACCGCAGGCGTGGGGGGGGGGGGGGGGTCCTAGAAGGCCCCTTCTCCGCGCCCTCTGATTTCCCTGAGGAAGTCTCTGGCAGGGTCTGTAATTCCTCCCTTGACCTAGCTGGACTCTCTTATGTTGGGCCGTTGACTCAGTTCCTACCTCTTAGCTTCTCCAAGAGAAAGTGCTCGCTGTCACAGAGCTCCACTCAGTCCTTACAGGAACCCACAGAGCAAAAGGCTCTCACACTCAGGCATGGTGGTTCCTGAGGGGTGAGTGAAACCTTCCCACCCCTCCTGCCATGTTGTCCATCTTCAGAGGAGCGAGGCTGAGGCTGCACCACATGCTTCCCATCACAGGAGCAGACTTCAAACAGAAGGCTGACCGACCCAAGGTGCCCAAATGATGTGCATAGCAACATGTCTGCATGGAGTCCTCTGTGGCTAAGGGCAACTCCAAGCACGTGGCCATTTCCGCGCCAGTGTTATTTTTGAACGCCACGCCTGCTATCTAACTGCAGTTAGAGAAGACCAACCCTGCTGCCCACCCACCATGTAGACAGGGAAGATGAGACACCAAGAAGCTAAGTTCTGGGGGCCCCCAACCTAGCAAGGTGAACCCAAGAGATCTGACCGATGGGTCCATGAGTTAGCCAAAGTTCTTCCCCTGCTGTGCAGGGCCATGTGTAGGATCCTGGGCCCACAGCCACCTGCTCTGATGGATACAGGTCCCATTTCCTCTATGTTTTTACACACACACACACACACACACACACACACACGTTGGGTCTTTCTGTGAGTTTTGCATTTGTGAATGCAACCAACTACAAATCAAAACTCTTTCCTCCTTCAAAACTGTGTCTGAACTGAATGTAGATGTTTTTCTCTTGCTGTCTTTCAATAAATAATACAGTAAAGCCACTGTAGCAGGTACAATATATTAGGTATTTTTAAGAACTCCAGAGATGTGGGAGGATACAAGAGGATGTGTCTAGATTATATGCAAACACTATGCCATTTTATATCAGGGGTTCAAGCATCTGTGGATTTGGGGTCAGGAGCAGAGCCCGGGAGACTTCTGTGTGAGCACCTGGGGTTGGACACTGGACCTGTTCCCACTCCCAGGGCCCTTCTCCAGAGGGTACAGTTAGGAACGGTGATTCATCCAACTTTGTAGAACCCTGGACTCTATTCTGGGGCATCTTGGAAAGAGGAGGAACCAAGAGTCCCTTCCCCACCAGAGGCTGTAGTGCATGTGGCTTCAGGACCCAAGAGGAGGTGGCCTCTGGCAGGTGAAGGCCAGGTGAGCTGCTCAGGTGCTCTGGGAAGCCCAATCACCTGTGCATGCTTCTCCCTCTGTCGTCCAGGGAAAGGGCCAGACTCCAGCCTCTGCTCCCCCTGCCTCAGCCCAGGTCTTCAGACGCCTTTCATAGTGCAGGGAGAAGGCATCGCGTCGCCCAGTCAACCTTTGGGGAGTTAGGGACGGCATCCAGAAACACTGGCCTCACACAGGGGCTTCTGCAGTTTAGGCCAGAGAGGATGGGAGGATGCACAGGCCACGGCTTAAAAAAGAAAGACACAGACACGTCTGGGAAATGCGAAGCTCTGGAAGGGTTGGCAGCTGACGAACCAGGAGAAGGAAGACAGAGAGAGGCTTCTGGGGAGAGCAGAGGCACCAGGCACAAGGACATCAGATGCAGGATGCGAAGGTGTCTCAACTGAATCTGGGAGTGGCAAAGCCACGGGGGACTTTTGAGCAAGGACACTGGCATCACTGAATCCACAGGTTTTGAATGCAGTGTGTGGTTAGTGGGAGAGAGTCACTCCAATGTTCCACAGCAGAGTGAGGGGAGCACAGTCTACAGGAAGAAGACCGTGAATGTTCCCACCAAGTGGAAATGATAATGTTTTAGGATATGGAAATGCTGGTCACCTGGATCTGGCCATTGTACCGTCTCTATGTATTCTAAATTATAAGACTACACCCAATAAAGTTCAGATGTTATATGTCAACTAAAAATATATTTTGAAAAAAAGAAATAAAATTAAAAAAAAATAGACATAATATATGGCATAGGCTTGAGGGAAGCATCTCTCCTTCCTCCACTACTTAGAGGCCAGTGATTTGGACATTTCAAAGGTCAAAGCTCCAGGTGAGGAAGCCCAAACCAGAAAACAGGTGGTGGGGAAGGAGATGTCAGGGAGGCACTGAGAGAAGTTTCTGAGGGTTGCTTTCTCGATGTAGGGATGGAGGGAGGTGGCGAATCAGAAACAGTAGGTACAGATGGGTACAGAAGGGACACACAGCTCTGACGAACCTTAGAACAAAAAGCTGAATTGACAGATGATGCAAGCTGACATTCGCTGAGCTTCCCCGAGGGTTGGGTGCTTTCTGCGTGTACCTTCCTGCTGCACCCCAGCACGTCAGGGGGTCCATGACTTGACCAGAGCCCCACAAGGGGAAGTAGCAGAAACCAGGATTCAAACTTGGGTTTTCAAAGCCACACCCTTAGCCCCCTGCCATTGCTGCTACCAAGCATAGCTGAGCAGATGTTGGTTTCAGGGGCTCGGTGGCCATGCCAGGGATCCCCACCGTCCATCATGTTGGGAGCACCAAATTCAGAATGAAAGAAGAGGCAGCTAGACAGATCTGGTCACTTTTCTACAATTGTAACAGCGGTAGGGAAACCAGTGTGATGAGCTCTTAGAGAAGGCCTGAGGGTCTGGCTATGTAGAATCTGTCCACTCTTTCCTAAGCTAAATTATTGACTAATTCACATAGATTATTCATTGGGTACCTCCTATGGGCCCAGGCCTGCTGTCAGTCTCAGGCCAGAGAGTAGGGGCTTTCCTGCACAGATTTAATAAATGTCAACTCCCATAAAGAACATAAAACTCCGCATATTCTACTGTATAGAACAGACACACGTGTTACCTACACAAGACAAACTTATAACTTATGCCACCTTAAATGAGCCCATAGAAGGTGTAAGAGGTGAGGACAGACACAAAGCCCCTCCCTGTTAAAACCATTACTGATTCTCTGCAGCCCTGCAGACAGAGTATGCTTCATTCCCATTCCCTCTTGAATCTCTAAGTTCTTGGAAGATTCAAATGTGCAGACAGGTGAAATGTAGATAATTCTTGATGCCACCAAGGCTGAATGGATGGCTAATAAAATCTCTTTGAAAATCACCAACGTATGTCTAGAAATGTCCACCATGACAATGTGGACAGTGGAAGGCAAAGACCACTTAATTATCTCTGCCGACTGATAAAACTAATCCAGATTTTATTCTCACATGGACTCTGATGAAAAAAATTCTCACATGTGATGAACCTAATGGATATTTTCTTGTACAACTTTTGCTCTTGTCTAAATGATAGCAGATATCTCGCTGTCCCTGCGCCAAGTTTATTTGTGTGCATGCTTCCAATTGGCAAGCTCCTTAAGAGCTGCGACCCTCTTCCAGGAAGGGAAAGAGGCAGGAGCTGTAAAAGTAAATGACCTGATATTACCACCAGGCTCAGCCACTTGGTTCTGGTGTGATCTTGGGCAAATCACTATCCTCTCTGGACTTCAGTTTCCAATATGTCAGTAGGATCAGCAAAACCCAGCTCAAAGGTGGGTGGTAAGGGTCAAATGAAATAATACAGGTTAAGTCCCCAGAATCATTTAATCTTGACTTTTCATGGAAATACAGTGGGTTGCAAATTTGAATAGAAAACAATGAAATTCGATGCAGATAAAATATAATTTGGATTATCTATGATAAGAGCCTTGGAGGATCTGGGAACATTCATGAACCCTACGAAATTGTCTGCAACATATTTACCAGTGGGCGTATTTGCATTTTCCTTCTGGAAAGAGAGCCCCCTGATTTCATCATGCAAGAACCCCTTTAAGCCCAGAGGGCCACCCCCTGCAGAGAGTATAGCCCACAACCAGCACGAAAATCCCTCTGCCTGAAGTCCATTCTTCCCAAGGCCACTTTATTTCGTGGTCAAGCCAGATGGACACAATGGCCTGCTCCTTTCTCCTGGACCTGTGACTCTCTGGTAGGCATATTCCCTATATTCCTTCCTGAGAGCTCAGGGATGACCCGAAATGCTATTGTCCGTTGGAAGTTCACCTTCTTCTTCTGTCCATCTTCTTCTCCTCCTCCCGCTCCTTTCGCGGGTCTTGATCTCCAATGAACACTCTGGAATTTACTTTAGCATCACTCCTGAAGACCCTGACCTGTGAGAGAAATCATAAGAGAATCGGAGCATTAGGAGAGAATGGAAGCTTTTGACAGCATTCTGAGAAAGTAAATATGATTATCAGGGTCAAGTTCAGTAGAAAGGGCAAGAGAAGGGCAGAAGCCAATCAGCGGGACTATCATCCAGCCCACGGGGCTCCTAGAAACCAGTTTTGCGAGACTAAGAGGGAAACATTGGGTTAGATATTTGATAAGTCATCGGGGTATAAAAAAGAGGAGATAACTAGTTAGAATCCTTCTTTGGAGGCAAGAATGCTGAAGGAGGGGGTGGGTAGGTCACAGGGTCAAGGGAGACCTGAGCGTCTTGATCCTCCATGGAGATAATTTTCAAAAATCCTTTCTTACAAACCACATGTTCCCCTTCAGACAAACGTCTGAAAGACCTTGGCAAGAACAAGCTTTCAAATCTCCCCCAAATTATTAAGTCAAGTAATGGGCTTTTAGAACATAAGAAGTTCAAAAGGCTGTCAGGTTGGAGCCAGACAGCTGAGGAATGTACATGGCCCTCAGAGGAGGTGCACAGCCATTAGTGTGTATCAGGTGGCCCTTATCAGAGGGCCCCATCGGCCAGTCAAAGGACAGGTTATTATGTGTGCCAGGTTGCTCAGAATTGGCCCCTCCGAAGTTAACTGAGAGCAGTGGGCCCAACCCTCCTCCCAAACCCTTGTTCAAACACAGCACAGGACTCTGTGGTTAAGGAAGGAAGGCAAAGCTGAAAGAAGATTCTACATGGTGATGAAGCAACTGGTTGCTGAGTCACAAGAAGCCACAGTCCTGTCTCTGCAGTTCCTACACCACTCTGGACAGCAGCCTTTCTAGGGACAAGACTCTGCCCTATCAGGAAGAAACTTAGTTGGACCATATACACCATCTTGCCTTGGTGCCTTTCATGTCTTTGAGACATACCAGAATTCTCTAAATGATGTTAGGTCATAGACGCTTCAGAATGCAAAGACACCAGTGGCCTCTGTGATAAGTTGATAAAACAGACAACTAGCCAGTCTGTGCTGAAGAAACTGCACTTCAGACTCAAAGAGTTGACATCACAGGGGGACCATATTTGTGTCCTCTGTTGACTTCCCTCACCTACAACCCAACGTGGCCGCCATCTTGTTTTCCTGGCGTCATGAATGGTGGCCTCAGGGAATTTCATGCCCATAAAAGACACTGAAGCACACACATCACTTTCAGACTCCTCTTTAGCTATCGGACCATCCCCTCAAGGCCTTCCCACTTTGTCTTCTCCTGGGACAATGGTCTATAACATTGGTCAAGTCCTCTCTGGGCTTCAAGACAAAGAGGGTGAGTGAAAACATTATCTGATACTTTAGTGCTTGACAAACACTAACAAGTCTAAGATTCTGGGTGCAAATTGAAGGAACTGCATGTTATACAACTAATAATGACATCTTTTGCCTCCCTGAGACAGAGATCTAATCTTTTCAAGATATTCCACAGAAAGCAAGCAATCGTGTTGATGACTTACAATACTAAATTGGTGAGAGGGGTGATGAGATCTGAATGGCTTTTTAGAATTTTTACAAAGTACTTTCACATTCCTTTAACACTCAAACTACCGCAGACAGCCCAGATACCTACTTTATAGGCCAGATCTCACTGAGGCTACTGAAAACTGAGAGAACCTCTTTCCAGGAATAGCTTGTCCACACAGGATCCCAGACTGTTCCGATTGCTGCTCTGGGGCTGCTCTCAGAAAATACATTTTTCAAAAGCATCCGGTGTAATTATCACCTAAGCAAACTTTGCAAAGCGTGGTCCAAGAACAGCTGCCAATGTGCACATTTTCCAAGATGGAAGCTTCCTTCTTTAAAATCTCCCAGAACTATTAAACTTCCATGGAAAGGAAAAATTTAAAATGTGCAATAAACAGCCTCATTAAGGAGGCAAAGACCTGGGATCCTGGCAGAGTGGAGGCTGTGGAGTGGCTTCTCCCAGGAGCGCCCTGCCCTGGTCCAGCGGCCAGCACACACGGAAGCCTCGCAGCCCGGGGCACTCACTCTGGAGCACACAGTGGTTGGGTTTGTAATTTATAATGTGAGGCCAACCAACAAATTCTATTATTCAAACATGTGGAGCAAACCCAAGGAGAGGAGTACTTTAAACTAATCTTTTGCTCAGAAGCGACATTTGCAGCTCTTTTCACTTACTTTTCATTATTTCTCCACAGGGGAACCGTTTCCAGGAATTATTATGTTAAGCAGTATATTAAAAAATGAGTCTTGGTATTTTTTGCAATAAATAACAGTTCACATTTATTCGGAGAACAGAAATGCTCACCAGAACTTACTTCCATTGTCTGCCTTAAGAAGTAAGGACTTATTAGGAACCATCTAGAATCATGTCCTAGGAGTTTGAGCAATAACCCAAGCTCTGAATGATTTTGGTGAGCATTCCCTACACGCTGACCCCATGCAGGATGCTGGGGATACAAAAAGAAATATAACCCAGGCCTTTCCACCTATAAGCACATAGTAGGTGCTTACAGAGATCCCTGCAAAATAGAGAGCAATAGCACTTGCAATCAGAGTGGTGGGAACCGGCTCGTAGTTAACCTCAGTTTCCACATAAGTAAAATAAGAATAGTGTCTGTCCTTCAGGGTCTTGGGAATGTGGTTGTGAATAACGAGTCCAAGTGCAAGAACATGGAGGCTTCTGACTGAGCACTTACAGCTGGAGCCACCACTTGTGCTGGCAGAGACAGAGGTGGTCAGGGGAGGAGGAGGTCCAGAGCCATCAGGAGGGATGAGTTCAGGGGTGCCCTGATTGCAGGCTGCCAGCACAGGAAGCTGGAAACAAGCTCCTACGAGAGGATGACTTCTATCATGTTCCGTGGGCCATATTTGGCTTTCTAGGTTGGTCCTGAGTTGGAAGTGGGTCGGGGAGAATTAGAGAAACCGGCAGTCAGTGACCTATCCCTGGGCATCCTGTGTTGATTGCTGCAGAGATGTACGCCAGCCTTCTGTGGTCCTAGGGGGTGTGTCCACACACGTTCAGCCTCTCGGGGAGACGCACACGGTGAACACATTTCTCCATGGCTCCATCAGAGGACCAAGGAACACATGTGAAACAGAGGTACCAAGGCTTTAGAAGCCCAGAGAAAGCAGTTACCCACCCTACTCCAGAGTCTGAAGGGTCTGGCCTTTTGTGGAGGCTGCCAGTCTCAAGCAAGACTTACGGAGACAAGAAAGAGGTGGAGATGCTACAGAGTGAGGGCACAGCAGGGCCAAGGGCAGAGTCGGGGCAGGACTCCGGTGGTGGCTGTGCTCTAGGACCCACGTGAAGAGCCAAATGGAAGGGAAGACAGAGCCAGAGTTTGGGAAGGGAAGGAAAAGAGAGGGACAAGCTTAGTGCAAGTTTGAGTTTTGTAGCTATAGGGACAGAGCTGGCCACAGGAGAAAGTCCTGTCCTAAATCAAGGAAACGGTGGCAATGAGAAGAATCCATCACCTTCTCAGAGCCTGGCCAGTGTGTGTTGCTAACAGCCCAAGCCTGTTGCTCAGAGAAGGATAACCTTGGTTTCCTCAGGTCGCAGCCCTGGACTCTTGGTACTCAGGTGGACTGGCTCAAAAACACTGCAGCCGCCCTAGTCCCGTGCACTGCCAGAAAACCGTGCCATGAAAGACTCCCTTCTCCCCAGGTGGGCTGAACTCAAGCTTATGGGTGTTGCAGAACTCAAGCTTCAAATTTGAAATTTCTTTGACTTATTGTCTAATCACACACATGTTCAGTTGCTCAGTAGGATGGGCGGATCCACACTGGAGGGGGTGGCACTCAGGGCTGCGTCTTGTAGTTGGTTGGGGGCTCTCAGCCTCTCTCTTGCCTACAGTCTGGGGCCTGAGCTATTTATCTTGCCCCCTTTACACCTTTACATGCTACTCACTCACTCACTGGATATTTGCCCAATTTTTGACTTGGTGGTGCCATCAAAACTGCAGCCTGGTTACTAACCCCTGTGATGTCACTGGAAGATCACTAAAGCAACTTTCTGAGGATGAATGAGCTCCCACACAGCTTCCTAGGGATTGAAAACGTGCTGGTCCCGGGACTCCTTTCTTCTTGAATCCCATTCATCAGTGGCCACAGTCCTCACATAGACTTGATGTGGTTCTGCCTAGACTTAGGGGCCATTTTTATGAGCAAGTTTATTTCTGAAAGACAGAGTGTTGCCATGCTTATAAATAAGATCTGTGAGGACATCACATGGGCCCTTTCCCAAAGAATAGTGTCCTGTGTGGGAACCTGCCTGCCCATCCACTGGCCTTCACCCATGGTCCTGACACTGCATGGATGAACCTGCCATGAGCCTTGTCCTGCCTTGTATCACTTAGGTTATAACCTCCTCCACTGAAGGGAGTCGTCCATTACTTTGACAAGTGTCCATCAGGCACCTCTGAGGGGTCCAGTACTCCTCTAGGTTCTAGGCAAAAAGCCACAATAGTCAGATGCAACACTCTTTCTGTGGGATGGTGGGCTGGAGACACAGATGATGAACAGGTGGAGAAGCCCAAGCAATGTCCAAGAGAGGCCCTTGCTACTGAGGGAGACTAGACCACCTGAGCAGAGAGGACTTCTCTAAGGAGATGGCCTCAACCATGTAAGAGGAAAAGGCCACAGACCAGAAGGGAGCTAGGAGTAGCCATGAAGAGGACCGAGGTATGAACTGCATCAGAGTAGAGAAGAAAGCCACAGTCTGAGGCCTGGTGGGCAAGAGGAGCATCAACTTAACAGGAGTTTGGAGGGTGAGGGTGGAGAAGAGCAGAGAGATCAGAAAGCAAAAAGGAGTTTGAATATCCTTCTAATTGCACTGGAAGCCATGGGAGATTTTATGGCAGGAAAACATTACAATCCAAAGTATGTTTCAGAAAGATCATTGGATTGGCTGGGTAGAATCAGGGCAGGACCACCCAGTGCTGAGAGAGCATCTGAATGGCTTTTTCCATGGCCAAGTTAATGACTAGGCTGAGCTGGAAACAGCGGGGAAGACAGAGAAGTGGACAAGGTCGGAGCCCATTTGGAAGCTCTGGGTTAGCAAGTCTTATATATATGTGTGCGTCCAGGGCTTTGCATGGTACAGCATGCACAGTGGGTAATCAATAAGTGTGGATTTATTTGGGATGTGTTGGACTGAATTAAATTGAAGAAAGATACACTGATTGGGCCAGTCAAATGTGAGTTTATCTTTAACTTAAAATTTTAACATCAAGCACTTTGGATAAAAGAGAAGCCACTCTTTTTCACTCTGCAGGAAGTTCAGATCTAAATCATATTCAAACCCCTCATATATATTATGTATATGCATATATCTAACAGCACTTATCTGATCATAAAAGGGCCCTTTAAACAAAGCTGCCAGTACTGCATATAACTTCCATTTCCAGCTGAATTAATTTCAACACTGGACAGATACCAAGTCAGGAAGGAAAACTAGAAGAAAGTCCTACGGCCACATCCTCACCAGGTCCTCATGCCATCCAAACCCCCAGAAGGAGGAGATAAACTACACTTTCTAAATTAGTTCTCCTTTTTGAGATATAGAGAACTTTGAAATCAAGAGATTGGCGGACTGGCCAAATCAAGCTATAAATTGGCAAAATCACCTATGCATTCTATTGAAAAATAGGTTGATACAAGGATTTGGCTGAGGACCCAGGAATATTTGACAGCCAGTTTCTGCAGAGAAAGAAATATGCACAAAGGATTCTAATTAAGGGAAAAAAAGTGCCACTTGATTAATCTCTGAACCTGGATCCAAATATATAGTACAGAGAACTTATATCATTTGGGGTAGCCATTCCCTAATGAAGCTATGCCAGGTACTATCTGCTGTGTGGCATTGACCTGACCCCAAGTTCATTTACATGTAGCAGATTATAAGACCAAGGAGTTAAAAGTAAGATAATGCCATGACATAGAGCTAGGAAGTTTCAGATCTGGAATCTGATCCCAAGCGTGTGTTCCATCTGATTCACTGTACTTTCCCTAAAAACTAAAAGTGGTGTTGTACCACCCCCAAATCATAGCCCAATACCATTCCAAGTAGTTCTCCCATAAAAGCTGACAGAGATGGGGTTTAATGCTGAGCCTATTGGGAAGAATGTGAGGCCTCCCACCAGCATCTCAGCAGGCAGATGTCCTGAGTTTCACTCTCCTGTCCCTGGTCACCCACCCAGAAGATGGAAGAGCACTTCCAACATTTCAAGGAATGTTAGGATATTCTGAGAAAAAGGGAGTTCACCTTCACTCTATGCTATTTAAGAAAATGATGGCTGACCAATTTATGATTTCCACTGTCATTAAAGGAAACCCGTGGGAACATCAACCCTAGATTTCTCTGCGTCTCACCTGCTCCAGGACAGCTCATGTGGAATGCCTGCATGCCCACGCATCTTGTGTAAACTTGGACTTCTCCACCTCCAACACAGGAGAAGAAGGCAGGCAGGCAGAAACTAAGGAAGAATGAAAGAAGAAGCGAGGAAGGGGAGGATGGAGAGAAGGGCATGGAAAAAGGAAGGACTTGACTTCGATCTCTTTCAATAATAATCAAAAGCTCATTTAACTCACCTTGATTGACACTCAGCTGGTAGCAGACCCTGTGCCTGGTTGCCCCCATGGAGACTTATAGATGACACCACCTCCAAAAAAAAAAAAAAAAAAAACCACACAGAAGGAGCTGGGGTAGGGCCACATTGTATTGGGATGATTTTCCTGAAATTGAGAGTCCTAGCATACATACCCTGTGCGGCTGATCATTTTTCATAAATTCCCATTGTTTCATTTGCTCGACCCTAAAAAGTTATTGTGTTTTCTCCACTCCCACCCCATCCAATAAAATAAAACTAATATCATGGTGTCATTTGAAAATATATTTATGTTTGTTTTCCCTATAAAAAGAGATAATAATGTTATGTTCCAATAATATTAAGTTGCAATGTTATTTGCAAGATTGCAGAGCTTTTAATTTTCTGATTATTTCCACAGTGGGAGTTTCAGCTCAATTTCGATGAAGACACTTCTATCTGTTTCGGTTATTTTTTTATTACAGCTAGAAGCAACAATAATTGCCTTTAGTGTAGGAAAACATCACGGAGGAGACAATTGTTGTCCCCAAAGAATAAGATCATCAGGGCGAATTTTGATGTAAAAAATTTGTAAATTAATTGCAGAGTCCTATAAATATTATATTTCCTAAAATTGCATTGTTTGCGGTGCTCAAAGAACTCATCTTTTTAGATATTTCTTTTAAAGAAATGGATTTCTTAAGAGACACGGCAACAAAGTGCTAATAATTCCTATGCATATGGCATCCACAGGATGGAGAGAACGCCAGTGGAGATTACAAATCCAGCATCCATTGGGTTTACTCATTGGCTCTCAAACTTATTGGCTATTTGATCTTTATTAAGCAAAGTAATTCTAAGTCTCAGTTTCTGCTACTCAGAAAAGGCTGCTCTGAGATTATAGTAAATCATGTGTATGAAATGACTCGTTGCATAGTCTGGCCTAAAGGAAGCACTAAATTATGGGCAGCTCTGACACCAGGATGTGTTCAGGCTGCCTGGTATCATTAATTCAGCATGTGTTGAGCACCGACTGTATACCTGCTCCCACCACTACTACAGGTACTGGAGGTTGACGATGAAGATGATGACAAAGGTTCTGATGAAGATGCCAGTCTGGTGTCACTAGAATACGCACTGCCATGAACTGGTGAACCCTAATGCAAAAGATCCCAGAGTGAACTCCTGTAGTACTCAGGCATGCCTATAAAAATTAATAACAAAATTATTCTCTGCATGGCCCCTGTGTGCCAAGTGCCATCGTCCTCAACACACATACCCAAGACCCACTTTCCTTTTGATTACCTGCCTTTGTTATAAAAGTTGGAAAATGTAAACCTTAAATTTCCCAGCCTCTCTTGAAGCTAAAGTCTGCTGGATGACCCGGATCTGGCCCTTGAAACATAAGAAAATATCTGATGAAGATCTCTGCAGGACTTTTGCTTTTATTTTACAGGGATGATCTCATCCTGGTTTTCTCACCCTATACAACATTTGTATGAGACGTGGAGAGTGACTGGAAGACAGGCAGCAAGAACTCCGCATCTACACGTCACTGGGATTTAGCACTGAATCTGGTACACAGTGGATGCTAAAAATCATGGTGGAAGGATGGAAAGAGGGAGGAAAGGAAGGAAGGGGGAGGGGAGCCCATGAGATATGGGGTATAAATGTGAGCTGAAACTGACCTAAAACAAAGACCTTCTGTAGATGATGATGATTATTACCATAATTATTTATTAATTTGCATGGTAATTCCAGTTATTTTATATAGCTACAAGGGAGCACATAAAGTTTCAGTGGAGAAATCCTTCAAGCTGCATGAGGGTTTCGGGAGCACTCTATTCGAACATGTGCAGGGGAATGACTACCACTTGCCTGAGAGACGTGACTTAGGAAAGTGAGCCCGCCCAAGAATGGTACATGAGCAAGAGAAATTTTTGGAATAAACAAATATTACGTTTTGGATTAAGGGGATTCATTTCTTCCTTACATAATCCAGTTCTCCATAAACTATATTATGCAAGCCACACACAAAAATATTTTCAGCATTGAAAAAAATACTCGAGACATCTAGCTCAGACTGAAGTCCTTCACAATGTGCCTACTTGCCCCCAAGTTAATCGTTGCTATATTTTAAAACTCTCCCTCTGGATGTCTTCCTGTGCATTTGCTTACACGTGATATGACAGCCATAGCAATGGGTCCGTGTGTGCATGTGACATAGCTTCATATGAATGGGGTGGAGGGTTGCATAGTGGCCCACACTTAGTTTTACTGATTTTTGACACATATTAAGGCAATTTCTCAACATCTGCACACAGAAAGACCTGAGGAATTTAAACTGATGTGCAGGGTTCTATATTGAGGACATAACTTAGTTTGAACAGGTCACAGAGGAGGTCCACGCCGGGCTCAGCCTCATACCCCGCTAGCAGTTCCATGGTGTCCACTCACACTCTACCAGTGCTTGCTACTCTTACTCAGTAACATTTTTCCAATCTGATGGGAAGGTGGATTTTATGTCACTCTTCTTGTCACTTACATTTGCCGGATGTTTTCTTAGGAAAGTCAATTTTCACATGCTTCTTGGCCTGTTGGATTTCCTGTACTCTTCAGGGCCAGTTTAGGCTTTTGGTCTTTTTGTTGTTATTTTTATTTTGCTTATTGACATGTGCTCTGCAGGTATTCAGACATTTGATATCATTCCTTTATATTTTTAATATATGTAGGGTGGTGTTTTCTCCTAGATTACCATTGGTCAATTTTAACTTTTTTAATATATAGTCTTAAATGTTGATATTTTCAGATAGACCAGTCTTTCCTTTTTTTTTTTCTTTTTCTTTTCAGTACTTGAACCCAGGGTCTCACACACATGAAGCAAGTGCTCTACCACTGAGTTACCTTCCCAGCCCAATGATCTTGTGTCTTGTTAAAGAGACATATAAACATGAAGGCCCAGAACATATTCACCTCAGTTTCCTTACAGTGTAAGTGACAATATGAAAATAATTTTTGTGCAAGGCATTTTCCTAAATGGCTTCAGATCTGTCCTGGCATTAACAAATTTGAAACTACTTTGTTAAGGCCCTTGTATTAAAAAAAATATATAAATGAATAAACTCCTGTTTGTGTTTGAATGGATTGAATTAAAATTATAGAAAAATTATGGAGAATGTCGACGTTGATCCTTCCCACTCACCACCATAGTGTTTTCTCAATTTATCCAGTTCCCTTTCATGCTCCTTATTAAAATACTATGAATTTTTTTAAGTGATTGAGCACGTTTCTGTTGAAGTTCAGCACTGAATGCTTCCTCAGTGTTCTGGCTCCAGGGGAGTACTGCGGTTGGCTTTAAAAGGATCATTGACCTACCAACAGCAAACTGTAACATTGCAACTTTTGGCTGATGTGAGAGGTCTGGCCCCTCCTTTGCTAGTCCTGGCAGTTAATCAGCTGGTTCTCTGTGACCAACGCTTGCAAATTATGGCAGAATCACTGCTGTTAATAGACTGTAGTTAACTTATTTCCTTTTCTTATTTAACTTCAAAGTCTAGGACTTTGTTGCCAATTCACCTCTTCCCCCATCACTAGAAGGGCTTCCTCCACTAAGTGATTAACATGTATTTACTGTGTGAGTATAACAGAATGGCACTGTGTGACAGTTTCTCTACTGAGGGCCACATGATGGTGATTCATGATAATTATGATTGAGAAAGGTTTCTGTCATCTCAAGGATGCTAGGATTTTTCTTTATCCCAATTTATAGGTCATTTTATTAAATGATTTTCAATTTTAAATTACTTAGATAATTTATTTTTATATCATAGACCATTAATAATTATTTGGACAGATTTTCCACTGTTGAATACACTTTGGATTCTTTAAATAAACTTTATCTGGGTGTCATATGGAATTTTTAAATACATAACTAGAATCTCTCTTTTTCTAAATTCTTTACCAAATAATTAAATTCAAACTACAAATAATTGTATCTACTGTAATCTCACTAAATTTTTTTTAAAACATAGAACAAATCTTAGAAGAAAATAAACAAAATGTAAAAATGTTCTCCCCTGATTGATGGAATTATTGGAGACTGTCTTCTTCCCACTTTTTTGTTTGCTTGTTCGTTTTTTGGATCCATTGCTTCAAGACTTTAAACAAACTGTAAAAAGATCATTTTTTTTTCTTTAAAAAATACCTGAGCTTTTAAAATCAAACAGGCCAGGACTTCATTTCTGCCTCCACCACCTCACAGTCAGACTTGGCAGAGAGGCTGCCACACCAACACCTGCTGCTTACCTTGCTGTGGGGGCAGGTGAGTATAAGATGCCGTCACAGGTGTTTCTTCTACAAATGGTCATCGTTACCTGTGGTATTCGGTCAAATCCGTGGCACAAAATCAAAAGCAAACAAAAAACCCTGATATGTATGGCCTTGTTCAGGTAAGGAAACAGGGTGAAAGACTGAGTTTTTCACTTTTCTGTCTAAAGTTTTGTAAATAGTCTAGGCGCACCTCCAACTCTGCATAGGTTGAGTGGGAGATGGGTCCACCTGGACCTCAAAGCCAATAGATCTTCTTTCCATTTAAAATCCTGAAATCTTTCTTGAGATGCCATAGAAAAGATTAGCTTAGCTTTTTCAGTTATTTTCATCTGCAAAGTGGATACAATCAAAGCACTTAGTAAAAGTTTTTGGTGAGGATTTGCAGGAATAGCTAGCTGTTATCATTATTCACCTGTAATAATGAATGACCATTTTTGAGTTCTTACCAAGTGCCAGACACCACTTTAAGTACCTTTCATGCAAATACTTCTTTTGCGGCTCTAGGAAAGATGCCCTTCCCATCCCTGCTTTGCAAATGAATAAATTAGGCATAGGGTTCAGAGAAATCCCTCACAGTTTTCGGCAGTAGAACTCATCAGTCAGAGCTCTGTAACAGACCTGCAAGCATCAACCAGTGCTTGGGAAATAAAATCAGAGCAAGCCAAATAAGATAAGGCCCCATGTAACTTCTGCATCCAGACCAAGTTTTACTTATTAAAAACTTGAAGCTACTTTTTAAATGGTCATTTCCGCTTGGTTGGAGAAATTCTCAGCCATTGGCCAAATGTTGGTGGGTTCCCAGGGCCTAGGACAATTATATAAAGCACTTGGCTTGGGTTGGCCTCTCACCCTGTCCTGGCTGGTGAACCCCCATGGCCGGCACGTCCAGAAGTCTGCATGCAGAAGTCCTGGTTGTATTTCCTAGAACAAGTCATGCAAGGACTCAGT